CTATTTTTATTATATTTTTCTTTTATTTTGAAAAGAAAAAAAACAAAGACAGAAACAGGGAACTGCCTACAGTGTTATTTAATTTATTATTTAGTTATTTTCTGACCAGCTCAGCCCACCCTGGGGGTGAGGCTGGCACGGCATGTGGTACTGGGGATCGAAGCACAGTCCCCGTGCACTTGCCTAAGCTTGCCTAAGCAGGCGCTTTAGACTGCTATCTCGCCAGCCCTGCATACAGTTTTAAAGCCAAGAGCACAGGGGGAGAAAAGAATTGGGCAGGATGGTTAACTTTTTAAAATCGGAGCTCAGGTTTCCTTTTATGTTGGCTACAAGAAATGTTTGCGAGTCTTACGCGACCAGGAGCCGTTTAGTCAGTAAGTGAGCAGAACACAGAGAAGGCACCTGTGGGGTGGTATGCTATCGTCCCTTGAAGGGTTTAAGTCCCAGATTATGTGGACAATCCAGTGACAACCAAGCTAGGGGTTCAAGGACCTCCGAAGAAGTCAGAGAAGAGAAGCCACTCACCATCCTAAGCATAGACCTCCGTCTACATCTGGTTAGAGACTAGAAAACATAGAATTGAGTTCCACTTTAGGTCTTCCAAGCCTGCCACAAGTGAGTAGACCCCAAGAAGATGGTGTGGATATAGCCTAATAAGGAGGAGCCCGAAACAGGGAAAGAGCTGTGCTCCGGAATTAAAAGACTGTGTTTCAAGTTATCAGTTCAGCTTTATGATGAATACGAGACAGCTAACCTCTGATCCCAGGACCTTATCTAGAAATGGATAGTGTAATAATAGCAACCAGCTACTTTGCACACTGCGAAGTTGCATCGCAGGTTCATTCTGTGAGTTTTGCACTGTCAGCTCCCTCAGAGAACCCTTTCCCCGAGTTAGGACACTTTCACCTCAGCTCTCTTCCAGGTGGCACCCGAGCCAGTCACCAATTAGCAGATGCCTGCAGGGGCCTAGGAGGGCTCTCCTATCTCAGTAGAAGACCCAGAACCTCTTCGATTCAAAAACTTCCTGCAGCATACATTGACTTTAGCTTTCCAGGAAGCATCTGCCAGAGCACAGAACCTTGCCCACCGTTTAAGCCAGTCCTGTCTAGAATGTCTGTTAAGCAAGCCTTTGACTTTCCTTTTCCTGCAAAAGAAAGAAAGCTCAGGTCTGCCCCGCAAGACCTATTAATATCCTGTGAACCCTGGAGAGGCCGCCGGAGGCCTCAGCTCAGCAGCTTCTGAGAGCCTGTTAGAATTACAGGCCGGGAGCCCCTGCCCCAGATCTGCTGAATCAGAATCTTCATTTTAACAAGCTCTTGGGATCCTTCACCCCCACCTTCAGGTTTTTATTCTGACAGCCCAGTAGATCAGGCTGGAGGCTGGAGCAGACTGCTGTCTGGGTTCCAGCTCTGCACAGCGAGAGCCTACGCCACTGCTGATCATCTTTGGTGTCTTCAGGAGAAAGGACTGTATCTGTGCAGTCCATTCCCCGCCTGGGACACCCACAGGCTTGCACTGTGGCACCTAGATGCTGCTGCGGGGGTAAGAGGACAGAGAGCGGTACCAGGTGAGCTTGCTGGTCCCAGGCCTCGCTGCCCTGTGATCTCGTGACCCGCCATCACTGTTTGTTTCTGGGGGTGAGCAAATGCCCGTATCCCTGTGGGAGGCTTTCTGACCCTCCCCCTCAATTATACCCACTATCCTGAATTTTTCATAATAATACAGTTGAGAAAAAGATTCTGCTGTTTAAGAAACAAGAAAGATTCGGCCAAGCCGGTCAGATAGCTCAGCAGATTAAAATGCCTGCTTAGGCAGGTGCAAGGACCAAGGTTTAATCCCTGGCATACATTGCCACCCTCACCCCCAGGGTGTGACTGAGACTGGGCACGGTGGTGCACACCTAGCATCCCAGTGCTGGGGAGGCTGGAAAACAGGAGGATCACTATGAGTCTGAGCTGTGCAATGAGACCCTCTAGACCCTGTGCTAAATACATAAATAAATAAATAAATAAATAAATAAATAAGAAACATTGGGCCTTCCAGTTCTAAAATCTGCTCATTTGTATCTGTCCGGTCAAAAATAAGGGTGTGGCTACTCATGAGTAGGAAGGAAGCGGCAGTACTTCCAGGTCACCCTAGCTCCACCCTGAATCAGTTCCTCAGTTCAGGAATCATGTTTTGTTTAACTGTGGACCTTGGACTCATGATCGAGGTTCACTTTCAGCCCCCTGGCTTCCTCCCACACATGTGCAGCACTGGCCTGGTGGGCACTGGGGACAGGGCTAGGAGAGCATCTCCTCCCGCGAGGGTCAGAGCAGAGAGCCATGTCACCCCTCACCACCCTGCTCTCGTCACCTCCTCTCACCCTCCTGGGACCTCTCATACTTTCCTCTTCTCTGACCCCTCTTTTCCTTGCCTTCCTTTAAGATTTACTGAGGACCTACTCTAAATATTAGTTCTTGTTAGAGTCTTTCACATGCACAAATGGACGGACTTAGTCTCTGCCCCCCCGGGAGCCATGTCTTGGCCAAACTCCTCAAACTCAGCTTCCCTCCTGTCTACCACAGGTGTCCCTTTTGGTACCAGGCCTCTTTGCCTTGTGATCCCCTTTGTCATCCATCATCAAGACAGGTTTCTGGTGGTAAACAAATGCCCGTATCCACACCTTGGTGAATTAGCAGCAAGCTGAGAGGATGATGAAGAAGGGACTAAGAACCCTATAGAGGTTCCATCCCGGCACCACATGCCACTCTGGCCCTGCCCCCAGGGTGGGCTGAGCCGGCCACAGAGTCTAGGTGAAGTGGCATATGCCTGTAATCCCAGTGCTGGGGAGGCTGAAAACAGGAGGATCACTAAGAGTCTGAGCTGCGTAGTGAGACCCTATACCAAATATATAAATTTTTTAAAAATTAAAGAAAAAGGAACCTTATAGAGCAGAACTACAATTTAAGTAGGATTGAGTACCTAGACTAATGAGACACAGAATAAAATCCAGAGGAATAAAGCAGATCCTCTGTAAGTCAACATCTGGGTTGTCTCCATGTTTCTGATGTTTTAAACAATTCTGTAATCCAGTAGCATGAGATACACATCTGTGTGCACATCTGGTCTCACTACTAAATCTCCACGTATGTGACTGCTGACTAGAAGGATGTGTGGGGCTGGGAATGTAGCTCAGCAGCAGGGCATCTGCCTGGGTTGTGGAAGGCCCTGGGTTTGATCTCTAGCACTGGAAAAAAA